TTTTTTTCGGTATCAACCCACTATCATACATGCCAAAGTTGAAATTTGAATTGAATTGAATACAAGTTGAAACTTGTAAAGTTGGATTTCAAGTGTTGATTCTCAAATCAACATAGTCATTCTCTTGATGTGAATGCCGCGGAAACGTAGATGACTGAAACCTGAAGGATACTTATTCAATTGAATTCAACTTTCAAGTTTGACGCTACTGTGGCTTTATGGAGGTCAGACTCAACACTGAACTTCGATACAATACAACCAAGCATCATCATCGTTGAATAGAGAAATCATGAAATTGAGTCAGTAGCATCAATTAGAATGCTCTAAATGCATATATCAACTGATATAATTATTTATAAGCTGATGAACGATCGTCTTGTTTTCAGCAAAAGAATTTTTATTCATTTTACTTGGCAATTAATACATTTGAATGCCATGATTCGTAGAATAGTCATTGATATACGTAGTTATGGTTCTTTGTCTCAAACGATGGAAAAACAATGAAGATAAACTCAATCGAAGCTATAACACAATATTAGTATTTGAATCAAAAATTAAAAAAAAAAGAATAAATAGAGCCACAATTGAAATCACCATAAATATTTACATTTCAGATACTGATAAACACAAGTGATCGATTTATAAAAAAAATAAAGCAAAATTAGCCATATATTCATTGGAAACAATCTTGACAAAATTGAACTGAATGCTCATTGTACATTACACCATCGTTGTGTCTGCTGTTGACCAGACACATTGACAGGCTTTGCCTAAAATAAAGTAGAACATGACATAACAATGTTTATACCTTCGAGTTGATTCTACTCACGAAGAAAACATGACTATACTTCGAAAGTAAATCAATAGAGTTTATTCTGTGTTCTTTCATCTTTGTTTTTTTTATTTACTACTTCTTTTCAAGAAAAACTCATGTCTAAAATGGATTCATCTGTTAAGTTATAGGTTTTACACTCTTTATTATTCAGAATGATGTCTTCTCAACCTTTAATAAGGAAAGTTGATTTTAAAACGAAGTATGCTAAGAAAAACAGATCAAGTTTGTAAATCTTCTTTTATTTTCAATGAGTAAACATATTATGAATACTGACACTTTTGTATAATCTTTTGGCATTTTTACCTTATAATGACTGCACCATGAACGATGATTACTTTTTCCTTCACGTGAAATGAGTTTGTAATCAGCTTGACATTCCCAACAAAATTTATGTTGACAGCGACGACATTTCATCTCATTGCATCCTGCATTTTTTTCAATATACCATCGACACTGAGGACACCTTTTAGTGTTTTGATCAAGCCATGCACAAGTGCCATCGTCAGGTAATTGGCTTAGTTGAAGATCATATTCGGCACATGTCATACCCGTATGCCAAACAGTACGATGTGTGAAACATGTTCGTAGTTGACACTTTATGCATATGACTTCAGGACTTGAAAATCCTTCGAGATCATGCAATTGACCGGATCCACATTCATGTGCACACCAAATAAATTCCGTCATTTCTTCGAGACGTCGATGGATCAAATTTTTGTCGTATTTTTCAAATACTATATGACTCTTGCCTGACGAAAGAAGAATACTTCGAATTGTGTAAAAGTCGAACGTTGCATTGCAATTTTGTTCGGGACAAATGAGTTGTTCATCGTAGACACTTGTATTTTCGACAAGAAATTTCGTATTTTCGTATACGCATGAATCGCACACAGTTCGTTTAACATGATGGCATGCCTCACTGTAATTGCCTTCGAATTCACTATATGGTTTGTCGATTGAACATACAGCACATTGGTGAGTTTGTGACGGGCATGCCATTCTATTGTTAACATGGTCATCACTCAGTTGATTTAGAACTGGTTGTTGAGGAAACGTTTCCGAAAATGTGTCTACTAAAACAGAAGAGTGATTGTGCAAATATTTGAAATTTTTTTTTTTGCATTTAAATTTCCTATATTTTTATGGATTATCTCGCATCACTTGATCAGATTGACTCTGTCCTGAAAATGATCACGAAAAAGTTTCAGTGATTTGTCTTAACATGTAATTAGAAGTTTTCATGTTTGACATGACATAGTGTTTGTGTGACCTTTTACTGGGTCATGCTGTCATATAAACGCTTTTTGTAATGATTTCACTACTGTAGTAAATTTAACAGTTTAAAAAAATGGCATAGTTTGATATATTAAATTTATCATTATTTTTTCTTTGACTTCAGTTGATTAGGTTCGCGAACTATTCACGAACAAACTGTCGGGATAGTGCACGATATTTGTTGAAAGTTGGATGCTAGAAGTAGACCAACTTTCTATTCGAAGCTGTTCGTTGTCTATGACATTCGACAATCGTTGTTCGATTGAAATCTTGCGATTCTATATGATCATCAAGCTTTATCACAACTCACTTTGGCAAAATTGATTGATATCAGCAGCATGATTTAGTTGTCGGTGTGGCGATGAGAAACTATCAAAAGTTTCAGTAAATGGCAGCTGTTGCTGGCAGTTTTGTGTTGCCATTATGAGAGTAAATTGTTGTATTGAGGTCGTATAATTGTACGTGCTTATTTCTATTCTGTCGTGACTATATACTTTATATACTGTTCAAAATGTAGCACATTACGCGTGTTTATGATTCATAGTGCTTGAATAAGTTTGTTTTATTCTTTTTTTTTGGCCAGTCGAATGTGATGTTTTTAACGTTAACATCATTCATGTGTATGAATCATGAAATATGTGAATCATAGTCTTCATTAGATTTTCTGAAGAAATAGTCACATATAAGATTGAAAACAAACAGAAAGTGATAAAATAATATTTTTGCTTACTCATAGCTAAGACCAGAAGCAAAATCAGTGATAGTATCCAATACTCGAATAAACACGTTTTTTTCCCGGAAATGATTGGGCTTTATATAACTCTTATTCGTTTGTCCTCAACATCAAGGACGATAGGCTCAACACATTTGTAGATTTTATTAGGAAAGATGAAAACAATGTCGAGAGACTCATATCCAGTCATCTATTAGGTTAAAAACGTTTTTTTATAGTATCAAAATAGGCAGACCAGAATATACGCATTAATATATGATTTCTGAACTTATCGCTTGCCACATGAATATACTTTCAAATCTTCTAATGAATTGAAAAATTGCGTGTATTCTATATTGATATCAACTAAACGTTTTATGGCTATAAGAATTTAGAAGAGTAATACAATACTATAAGCAAAAATGAAACGTATAGATTCGATTTAGTGCTGAGTGCCAGGTATAAAAATAATCGTACGAACGAATATTTTACTCAACAGTGCTTCTGTTGTACTATCACTATCAGTTATATTACAATTTTTTTTATCTAAATGGTGTATCATCTTTGTCAAAATAGTTTGTTTCACATAGTTAAACCATGAATTTCATTGGATCTTGAATTTTTTTTTCAACAATAGAGTTAATCAACCAAAAAAACTTTTTCTAGAGAAAATGCAAAGTAAAAAATATCAAACATCGTTAATTCACCGACTACGGTACAACACATGTGTGTTGCTCTGAGTTGGGTGTTG